GGAGCCCAATCGTCAGCAGCGTCAAACGTCGGATTTGTTTCAGTGTGTTTTGTTATCTTTTGATTCATACTTTTTACATATTCCACTTATGATAAAATTAAGGGTTGCCGTCAAGTGGGGTAAAAACCACACGTCTAGGATTTAAGAGGGCCTGCATGGGGGGGGGGAGGTAGTGATTACGAATCTGAATTACGCAAAATCTTAGCCGCCGATTACGAACTACGTTTAAGTCTCAAAGAATTACGTTCATTTTTGGGGAGGCTGCCTACGAATTACGAAGACTAAAAAGACCTGATTACGCCTTACGAAAAAGGGCATGCAGGCCCTCATTAAACCCAACGTTGGCCTTACTTTCCTTCTCTGTGTTTTGTACTTGTCCCAGAAATGAAAAGATGTTTTCCCTTTTTTTCAGCGATGCCAACGCGGAAGAACTGTGAGACGACGAGCGGTCTGTGTCCCAACGGCAGATGTATCAACTTCAGGGACTCCTATATCTGCAACTGTAACCCCGGGTATCGGTATGACTCTCGGGAAAAGACTTGTGTCGGTAAGTAATGAATGATGAGGTCACATTTCCAAACCGGGGCCCGGCCGGGCTGTTTCGATTAACGAAAAATGGTTGCTAAACGGTTAATATTTCTGTTTCCCGGGTTTGTTATTATTTGTTTTGCGGTACTACATGTATCAGTTATATATTTGCCATGCTTTTTTGTTCATTTATTTCATTTATAAAACTCAAATAAACAAAGATTAAAAAAAACAATTTATATCAAGAATATACGCAACTAGTTCCCACTATTATTTTTGTGCTTTTTTATCTTTTATATCATACTTTTCGTTCCATAAGACAGCCCGGCCGGGCCCCAGTTTGGAAATGTGACCGCAGCATAAAGAAGCAGTTCGGCAAGTTGTTATTACAAATGTACCTCCAGGGAAAATGTGGGACAGAGGAAAAGTGGTCTTCTCAGACAAGTGGTCTTCTTACACATAAAACATGGCGACAAGACATGGCAGAGAACAAGAAAATGGCAGTAAACATGTAAAATTTCACCCATTTTACAATAGACACCCCGATAGACCCAAAGTGGCCTCATTTTACATAATATTGCTCACAGATTGTCACGCTGTCAAAGTCAATGGCAAACTGGCCGATTCCATCAAGATTTCTCGCTAGGTTTTTCGCCACACGCTTCAAAATGATGCGGTCGTCATAGGCAGAGTGCGGGCCATGAGCGGTCCCAAATATTGCCGGTCGCAGTCGGGTTGGACGTATGGCCAGATGGCCGGCTTATAGAGCTGGTCACATGGGCAAGTTTCAGTGACTGTATGTGTTCGCCCGCGGGTACCATCCGGATTTTGGCTCCGCAAAGCTCGAAAAAAATCCAGATTTTGGCTCCGTAGCACTCGATTTTTTCGAGCGTTGCAGAGCCAAAATCCGGATGGTACCCAGGCTATGTATGTGTTGTTCTGTTATTTATTTTTTTTCTGTTACAGAACGTCCCGGCAGTATCTGTGAGACGATGCTGAACCTGTGTCCTAACGGGCGATGTCGGCCCAGCGGGAACAGCTACACGTGCGTGTGTAACCCCGGCTACAAACTGGACCCAGTCAGGAAAACTTGTGTTGGTGAGACTTTTTTTTTATTCAGCATACAGTTAACAAAATAAGGGTACAGGACAAAGTGACGACGGGCTCATGTTAGGTAACTTATGTTAGCGCCGCCACTTATACGAAAAAAACTAATATTACTAAACAATGCAAAACACTAACCAAGAACACATGTAAAAGAAAAGCACAAGTGAGACTTTCCGCAACACTAATGCATACACGGTGTACTGGAATCATATTTTCTTTTCGTACAATTTTACATTTATTTATCTTATTTATTAAATCTTCAGACAGCTGAGTGGTCCATTCAATTTTGCAAATTGATTTTCAATGGGGCCCAGACTACAAAAACAATGAAATCATCAATATGACCAAAAAAAATAAAATAAAAATTTTACAAAAATAACAAAGGGTTGTGAGCCATAAGTAACGCAAGTATGCAAAGATATTCATAAACAAAAACTAGTGTTCCTTGAAATCATATACAAAAGCCAATGTAAAAAAATCAAAATCGTTTCCCATAACTCATGTCCATTTCTTTTATTTATTTATTTATTTATTTTATTTTATTGAAATAATTGCAACAGTGCAATACACGCGGAACAGAGGCAGCTGTTGCTGGTGTTGTGTCCCGCACATCGAAACGGATACTGGACAGACAATACTCATTTTCACTTGAGTCTAGCGGGGAAAGTCGTGTAAAGTGCCTTTCCCAAGGGCACAAGATCGGTGGCATGTCAGGACTCGAACCCGGGACCTCTTGATTCCGAGTCGCGCACGCTGCCGTTGTGCCACACGACCCCGATTTTACAGTCCATGTCAGCCTTTCTTTGGTGGTTCAGTGGTTCATTGATATAGAAAAACAGTACTCAAGATAATTAAAAGCCCTTTTCACACTCAAAGGTCCTTTTCACACTCAAAAATTGCTTTAGTATTAACGTAAACCTACATAGAAAGTTATTTGAAAACTTGCAATTGTGTTTTATTGAATGTATTGACTGTCGTGGCGTCGGGTGGTGTAGTGGTTAGAGCAATCGACTGTGAACCGGGAGACCCGGGTTCGAATCCGAGTCGTGCCCGGGACATGTCTGAATATGCGCCCCGACGAAGGCACTTTACACAACTTTCCTCACTCCACCCAGGTGTGAATGGGTACCTAACTTCGGTTGGGGAAAGTCGTATTGAGGTCACCTTGTGGCGCCGAATGGCAGCCGCACAGACCCTTGCGACATATATGATATAATTTATGATATAATTTGTATTATTTGATTGTTGTAATTGTTGTGATTTGTATCGATTATTATATGATACCCTGCATCAATTCAGTCGTATAAAGGCTGCGACTGCACGGGTACTGTTTGGACAATAAAAACCATTTATTTATATTTATTTAATGTATATTACCTCAGCTGAGCGCAGCGCCAGTGTTTGTGAGAGCAGACCGGGGCTGTGCAGGAACGGACGGTGTGTGGACAGCCGCGGGTCGTACCTGTGTATGTGTAACACCGGGTACAGACAGGACCTGGGCGGGAGGGCGTGCGTAGGTGAGGAACGGCTCCATATTTTTTGTTATTATTATTCATCAAAACATGAAAACATAACAAGGACAGTGTGACGCTGCACTCAAGTTTACAACTTATATTAATAGCACCACACAACAAACAAGTACAATTAACATTCAAATATACAAAGTTGACATATCTGTGCGCCGTAGTCACACCACCCCAAGACATTAAAATGTTAAATTGAATGCTAAAAAAGCTATTTGAAAGGTAAGATGATATTTTCTTGCTTATTATTTATTTCCCTATCACATGACATGTGTTGTCTGTCTACAGACATTAACGAGTGCAGCTACCGGAACGGCAGGTGTCACCACGGCACCTGCGTCAACACCGCGGGGAGCTTCACCTGCAGCTGCGATGACGGTTACAGGTTGTCTCCGGACCGAAAGAGCTGCATCGGTAAGTCCTCAAGGTCGAACAGACTAAAACTGCCAAGGTCATCCACCAAGAGGGAATTTCAAATGAAGACAAGATGTAGGTTTTCCCACAACAAACAGCTGGAACAAATCTCGGCTTTACCTTCACATGGCGTCAGCTAGGAAATGTCGACTCCTTAAGTCCAGAGAGACGCCATACAGTCTTAAACCTTTTGACTGACTTGAAGATCTCTGTATCCACAGTTCGTTAATGTCTTCTGTGGCATCTTTAACGTCATCTTCTTCATCATGCTGTCTCATTGGACGTAAACTAAACATCCGCTCGATGATTTTCTTCATCTCCAAGCAGATCCTTTGGTGGCTGCGAAGACAATATCAAATTGGCCAGGCAGTATCCACTTGCCTAACCGACCTGGTATCCAGTCTATCGTGGTCGGGCTCTTCCCCGCCTGCCTGAGCTAGGTTCTCCCAGGTTTTTCACGGTAGGAGTTTGATTAGGCTCACCACGATCGTGGTTGGCCAAATCAACTCCCTTTTGTGCCATCTCTATAAGCGTAACACTCCTACCGGGCGGCCTGTTGTACTGGGCGGGGGGAAACTATTAGAGCCCCGAAGACAGCTTGCCCCAACCACGATAGACTGGATACCAGGTTACCACTTGCCAGACAGTTACCGTTTTTTCCACCCGATGGGCGGCTTAGGACTCTCTCTAGATGGCCAGTTCAAACCGTAACGCTTCTGCCGCCAGACATCTGCTTGGAGATGATTCGATTCCCTGCCCTTTAGACTGACCGCCTAACTATCAAAACACCGTCCATCCACTCACCGTTACTACAACATGCTAAGGCCACAGCAAGTTATTTTTATGGATGACATCAGCGCGCGCATTAATTTTTGCCTGATTTTGAAAAACAAACAAGACATTTTGTTGCCTTCTGACAGTGGTCAATATGCCGAAAATGGGCAAAGATATCTGTTGCCATAGTGGATAGTAGATAACTATGGAGAGAGGAGACAAGAAAAGGCTTTGTTTCTTACTCTGGTGCAGTGATATGTGTTGCTGTGATGAATGTATATGTGATGTTCCTGCATTCCCACTGAAAAAAAAACATTTGTACAATGATTGAGTCAAAATTTTAAAATGTAGGAACCTTGTTTTTTTCGGCCCGTCTTGTTTTTTTTTTCGCCCGCTCGCATTAGATTTGGAGTCTGCGGAGGATGTCATCCATAAAATTTACTTGCTGTGGCCTAATGGTGCCTGACGAATCCGGCAGACAGACACAGCAAGGATGCTTACCTGTTGTGTCTGCAGTGATCACGACTGGGCTGTAATAAACTTTCATCAAGGCGTGCAAATTACCAACTTTATGGACTTAATTGGTGCACAATTATCATTTCAATTTCAAAGACAGGTGGTCAGACTAGATAGCGAAGTTGTGTAAAGCCCCTGTCACACATTCAGAACCTTCCCCCGAACACCAGCCGACCAAGGTTGGTTGAAGCCCGTGTCACACATATGTGTTAAGCTTCGGTCCCAATTGCACCGGTGCCCGTCGGGGATGTAGCCCCGGCCGGCCCCGGTCGGGCTCTGGAGCCTGG